GAAACCTATCAAACACACAAAAACTCCCAAGACAAATAAACCAGTCACTGATCTTCTCCTGATAGCAGTGAGTGGCAAATGTTCCAGAAAAAAGCACGAAACCCCCATATGGCCTTTTATTGAGAAAATGAGATTCTCAGGTGATTCTACTTGCACTTGGTGATTATCCTTTTACAGGACAACGTTGCATCCAGCTACGAGGTGTGGTACACACCTTTTGTTAATGCTGACGTTTAATGTGATAGTTTCCCATGGCAAGATGTACTAAAATCTGTAGATAAGAAATGCCACCAAAGCAAAACAGATGTCATAAATTAAGAGAGATAAATAAATATGGGCTGCCTTTCCTGAATTACTGCGACTACCTAACTAGTTTCCCGTCACTGCTAAGGACCTTTGCTCCAACTACAAAACAACCCAATTTGAACAGGGCCTTCCGAAGTCCACCTCACTCATGCACAGAATCCCCAAGGCAGGGGGTGGCCTCACCAAGCAATGCTGGAGACACACGTGATCGTTGGACTCCTGGGCAATCCTAATCGCCTCCTGCAGGGCAAGCTCTGCCTGTTGACTGATGACAGAACGAACGTTCATCTCATTAACAATCACAAAATGCACAAGCAACAAACGGTAGCAGAACGTCATCTGTGCTGTACTTTATCCGAGTATAGGCCTTTGGGTTGGAAGCTGTAACTATGGGATTATTCCCTCACGGGCACTCCCCTCCCCCAGCAGCAAGAAACATTAACAGAGGAAATACAGAACACGCTCCTTCTGAGGTGGATTTCTACCAAAAGGGGCATCGAGGATCAGCTTTACCTGATCTCCACTCCTAAGAGTTTTATTTTAGCGGTCTACGGCTGAGGGGAAGGGCGAGGAAGGAAACACAGTGTTTTACTTTTCATTGCATTCCCTTCTGCATTATTTGAATTTTTTTTTTACTATGGCATTTGATACTTTATAATTTTTTCAAAACTAGTTTTTAAAAGGATTTTGAGGATTATCCACTTGTGAAATTTTTTTTCCTGCTCATGTGGTTCCCCTCCATCTGGGATGTCTCTCCCAACTTCTCAACTTCGGTGGAAATTCAGCCAAATATTCTTGGCTCCACTGAACTCTCACTTCTGAGAATTCCCATGGAAATGCTATCCATACCCCACTCTGTAATGTGTAATTAAATACTACTGTGTATCACCTTCTTCATTTAACCTGCGTTAATTTTATTTTTTAACTAGTTTATAAATCTGTAGAGAACATGAGTAACGTCTTAAACTTCGCATTTCTCAATGGCAAGTCACAGAAGAGAAGTCCTACCAATGCTGGGTCACTGAGGATCTCAAAATAAATGCTATGGGTATCACTTATTTATATGATGAAAACCAAACAAATGATATGTTAGAAAAAAGGCTTTTGGGAGAACTGCATGCTAAAACAGGACTAAAGAGAGGCTACTTTTCCCAGGTAGGAAGAAAAGGTAGTTTATCAACACAGAAACTTCAGGTCAGGCAAATCCTCAAAGGACCTTATGGTTTTCCACTGCTGCTAAGTAGAAACACCTCTGATAAAAATTTTCAGCAACAGGGCAAGAAGCAAAATGCTTATAATACCTGAAATGCACTGGCTATCTACTGTTTTCAAAATGCCAGAGCAGAAAGGTCTGTTGCCTCTAAACAACAGCTTCCTATATCATTCAAGTAAAAGCCAAAGTCCACATTGGGCCTACAGGACCCTAAATGCCCTGACCCCTGCAATCTCTATGCCTTTGTCTTCTTCTATTTCCCTGTTAGAGCACTCTAACCGTACCACTTGCTCCCCCTCAGACGCTAAGTAAACTACTGCCTCAGGGCCTTTGCACTTGCTGTTCCAGCTGACAGATCACTCACCGCCTCAATTCCTTTACATCTCAGAGGTCAGGGAGGGCAGACTATGGAAGTGCGAGATCTGTGCGTACAGCTGGAGGAAGCGTGTTCCTCATGAAATCGACGGCATCTCCGTCATCGCTCTCTAATCCGTATCCTGATCTACTACGACTCGATATATGTTTAGTGCTACTTCTTTATCCCTCCCGCTGTAAGCTCTATGAAAACAGGGGCTTTTTCCTCTGTTCTCACTATTATATTCCCCGCACCTAAAACAGTGCCTAGTACACAGTACATGTGCAATAAACTCTCAAGATTTTCAAGAAATCGCCACAATCCTATTAGCTAGTCACAAAGGCTTAGGCAGGACCATAGTGCCAAGACAGGAAACAAAGACAAGACCTGAGTAAATCAGGAATTAGTTACCAATGAAATTCCATGCAATTAGCTGCCTATCCATTGATAATACTGTAAAAATAAAGAAATTCTGTACATCAACAGGTTACTTGTATCTAGAAGGCTGTATACAAATTTCCAAACCCCAGGGGAAGCTGTTTTGAACACTGAAATAGGTCATTGGTAAATATTACAAATGGTGTTGCTCTTTATCATGAGCACACACAAAAAAGGAAAGGCTCTGATTAAGAGGTTATTAAAGCTAGGCAGACAAAAAGAAGTTGATTATTAAAAGACAGTATCGGATCTCACAAAGTCATGGAGTTTGCAGCATCCTCGAACACCACTGGGCGCATCTACAGACCTGCTGCCTCAGCGGCCTTAATGATGTCCCTGGTCTAGGCTTCGGAACGGCACTGGCACCTTTCTCAAAGGATTCTGCCGCGGAAACGGCGTCCTCGTAAGGAGGGAGAATATTTTGCCCCTTCACTTGCACTGACCACCTCTCACTGATCTCCTAGTGGTCACGAACTCAATCAACTAAGCCCTTTTCACACAGCCTTGTAGTACATGAAGATGCCGGACACGTGCTTAGCTAAATCATTTTTCTTCAGGCTAAACAGTCTCCCAACTTTCCCATATAGTTTATATGGTATGGCTCTGAATGCCTCCGAGACCAGCTTGTCAATGTCCCTTTTAAAATGTGACGACCAGAAGTTAACAGAACTTCCTGGGTGTTGCCTGGGCCATACAGGAAGGGGAAGAACTCTCAATTCTTGAACTCTGGTCTTTCTTTTTCCATCACTACCCCCTCGAGTCTCTATTCGAAGATGCCTATAGCAGAAACCACATTCCTCTCAAATGGAAAAAAGCCACAGGAGATGGGGAGACTCTTTGAATCAGTAATTTCTTAACTTTTTCATTATTCACATTATTTCGTGGTTTCCAAAATAGCTTCCATGTTTTGAAAGATGTTTTCCACTTAACTCTATTTACCAAATAATTGGTCAATTTTCCTATTTTTATTCATTAAAATCATAGGCATACCTTAGCAATGACGTAAGCCAAGTGTCACCTGACTGAGCTGCCTGAATTCCATCTAAAAGCACAAACATGTGACTTTTAATAAGCCAGTGCAGTCTTTTACCAAGTAAAGGCACAACAACTTCCTTTCGGCTTTTTGAAATACTTAAAATAGCTTTTGCATCCCCATTATTAACTCCAAAAAGTCCTTCTGGGACTCTCTGGCCTAATGACCTAGTTTCCTTTTCATTCAACGGCTGTTGTTCTTAGAAGTAATCGGAGGCCCCGGACGAGGGCAGCCCTGTGGCACAGCGGCACCAGGGGGCAGGCTGTTTAAGCAGAAGGTTTTCGTGAACTTCCGTCCAGGGGAAAAGCCTCCCTTTTGGAAGTTATTGACAAGTCCAGATCAAACAGCCTGCTTCCTTCCTTTCTTTTCTTCTTCTCTTTCTTCTTTTTAATACAGAATTTAAAAAAAATTTCCATCTCAATTAACATTTGAGAGTCATTGTCTTCAATTTCCGCATGGATACAAACCCATGAACTTACTAGTGTCCGAAGCGGCAGTGCAGGGCGGCCAGGTTCAGGGCGGCGTACCTCAAGCTCCGGCCATAGCCCTCTTCCCCGTTACTTTTGCTTTCGGCTCCAGTAAGAATCAAGCGGTCGAAATAATGCAGGAGGCTGTGAGTTGAACTGAAAACATCCTGGACCCGGAGGTTGTTTAAGTAGCTCAGATAATGCTAAAACAAGAAGCAATCCACACATTGTAAACATGCCGCTTCCTCTTGTGTAAGACTAATTCAGAGTTCCAACGGCTGCACATGCCCGTGTGTCCCCCACCCTTCTAACAAGATGGTCATAGTTTAGGTTCGTTTTTTTCCCCATAAGCAGAAAAAACAGAAAAACAGGTTCAAGATACAATTGTTTGTTTCCTCCCAGAGGGAGTCCCCAAATGAAAAACAGGAGTTCCATTAGAATTTGTGACAGTGTTTTATCCTAAATATACATGCACTATGTCACTGGTTATACTAGGTGATACGTGAGGGTGGAGGGGAAGCTCACCTCACTCAGGTATTAAGGAATAACACAAGTTCAAAAATAAAGATTTTAAAACCTAAATTCATATAAAAATTATAAAATTATTTTTTCTAAATGTCCAAGTTCAAACAGTGAGACTTTTACTAGTTTATTAAATTCATTATCTTTTATTTTGAAAACGTTTTCATTTTGTTTAATCACTGAATTAAACTTCCCTCCAAACAGGCAGATTCCAGTTACTAGGGAGCAAAACAGTTATTTTTCTACCTGTGGATAAAGCCAGACATCAAATCCAGGTACTATTAAGAAAGTTATCCGGGAAAAAAATCCATTGAGGAATGGTATTATTTGAACTTAAAAAACAAAACAAAACAAAAACCACACTGACAAAAACAGAGAAAGGAAAGAATTTTTAGGCCAAATTTTTTAAAAAGTTAGTCTACTCTATCGTCTGTCCGTAATTCACAACGTCAGAGAGAAAAGGACACGTTCGACTGAAGAAACCCTACTGGCACAAGGGTGGGCGGGAGTGGCAGCAACCCAGGCTTGGCTGCTGACTTGCCCACGACAGGATTTCTCTCCAAGATCTTGGGCCAACAGGCCTATCCTTGTTTGCAAGGCAACTCAACAGGAAGAGGAGCCTTGTCATTCCTTTTCAACTCAGCAACAAATTCTGGAAAAGACTCACCGCTTCAGCAAAATCAGGGTTAAATTTCAACAAATTGTTCAATTCCTTCTGCAAAGAAGCTGGAGTGAGGGCTTTGGTCTCATCATTCTTTAACAAAGAAGCCTGAAATTTAAAAATGACAACTCAGTAGAAAGAAATGACCAATGAACATATGGAAATGTTATACTAAATAGCATCATCTCATTATTTTCTTTTCTGCAGCTACTCTCTCTTCTTGACCATAAGGAACATGGTTCCCTCTTCCTGCACCAGTAAGTCTCCCAGACATCGCTCCCCGTCCACACACTCCTCCCATGCAAACCCCTGCTAATCCCTCGGGCACCAATTTAGAGAGAACTGCTCCTATCACTCTGTAGCCTAGATAAGGTCCTATAAGCTCCTAGTGCTCCCACAAGCCCCCTCCACTAACCCTTCCTACAGTACTTACCAAGCTAGAGTGAAAGGGCCAGTTTAACCCCACCCACAAACCGAAAGCACCCTCAGGCAGGCAGTGTGTATCACAGCGCCCCCAAAGGGCCTCATGGCTCCCAGTTGCGCTACTCCTGGTTATTTACTTCATATGGGTGGTATCAGCAACAATTATATAAAATATGTAGAAAACCAGTTCCAAATTAAATATTAGTACTTGACTGGGCTATAGACACTACTTCAATTCTACCTAGACAAATTTTTTCTCTATAAGTAATAATTTCTGCAAGTAATTTTGTTTTAATTCATTATGTCATTAAAGAAGATTCCAAAAATATGAACGAGCATACAAAAAACAAAAATCTGTAATCCCTCCACCAGAAATAACACTATTAATTCTTCAGTGAATCTTATTCCAGTGTCTTTTTTCTATGTGCATATATGCATGTACATACATATGCGTGTATACATACATATATATATATCGTTTTTAACAAAATTAGAACACCTAACTTCCTACTCTTTTCATTTAATAGTATATTACAAACTATCTCATCAAATAGTCTTTGAAAATGATTTTTAAAACAAAAATATTAACCTTTTGTCACATTTACTGCAAATACTTACCCCATTTTGTTGTATGCTTTTTAATTTTGTTAAAACATGTTCTGATGTGCAGACATTTAAAATTTTTATGCTGAAAAATCAAATAATCTCCTACGTGTTTCTTCCACAGCTTTTATGTTTAGAAAGTCTTTCCTCATCCAGAGATCAGTTAAAACTTAATATGTAGTTCCATCTAGTTTAATTACAGCTTTAAGTATTTACATTTTACCCCCTTTAATCCACCTGTAATATATTGAGGAATGAAGATGAGGTGAGGATCAGCCATATTTTCTCCTCTATAGTTAATCAATTGTCTAGACAGTTTTTCTAAACTGTCTGAAATTCATCTGTAGGGGTGTTTCTATCACTTTTATCTAGATCTAAACATTACATCTTTCTGCAGAAAAAAATTTAAGAACAAAATTAGGGAAAATAGGAAAGTCGAGCACAGAAATAAAAATTCTATGCTTGAAAATAAGAGAAAAATGTTCAGCTTATGTTACTGAGAAAATGAAAAAGTATGGCTGAAAAACACCAGCAAAAAAATGTTTGGGGTGGGACTACGCCAAATTGAAAAGGTTTTGTACAGCAAAGGAAACCATCAACAAAACAAAAAGACAACCAACTGGAAGAAGATATTCGCTAATGATACATTTTATAAGGCGTTAATATCCAAAATTTATAAAGAACTTATATAACTCAACAACAATAAAAAACAAACAATCCAATTAAAAAATAAGCAGAAGACCTGAACAGATATTTCTCCAAAGAGGAAATACAGATGGCTAACAGACATATGAAAAGATGCTCAAGGTTCCTAATCATTAGAGAAATGCAAATTAAAACCGCAATGAGACATCACCTCACATCTGTCAGAATGGCCATCATCAATAAATCAAAAAACAGAAGGTGTTGGCGAGGATGCGGAGAAAAAGGAACCCTCATACATTGTTGGTAGAATTGCAAATTAGTACAGCCACTATGGAAAACAGTATGGAAGTTCCTCAAAAAATTAAACATGGATATACCCTTTGACCCAGCAATTGCACTTCTAGGTATTTATCCAAAGAAAACCAAAACAATAATTCATAAAGATCTATGCACTCCAATATTCATGGCTGCACAATTTACAATAGCCAAGATATGGAAGCAACCTAAATGCCCATCAACAGACGACTAGATAAAGAAATTATGGTTCATATATACAATGAAATATTACTCAGCCATTAAAAAAAAAATGACATCCTATCATTTGCAATGAAATGGATGGACCTAGAGGTTATTATGTTGAGTGAAATAAGTCAGACAGAGAAAGATAGGTACCATATGATTTCACTCATATGTGGTAGCTGAGGAACAAAAGAACAAACTAATCAAAAATAGACTCACAAATATAGTAGACAATTTGGTGATGGACAGAGGGACGGGGGTTTGGGAGGCTGAGAGAATGGGGTGAAGGATTAAACAAGTACAAATTAGTAGTTGATAGTTGAGTACGGGGAGCACGGAAGGAGGAATGCAGTCAGCATTAACATGATGGCTAAGTGGAAGGCCCGGGGAGGGAGGGAGCAATTGGGGGGATCATTTTATAAACATTATAGATGTTTAACCAATGTGTTGTATACTTGAAACTAATTTAAATAAATACATTTATTAAAAAAAAATGTTTGGGGTAAAGCGTACTGATATCTGCAACTTAAAATGCATAAAAAAAAGAAAAGAAATGGCGGCTGGATAGAGGATAGGTAGACACGTGATAAACAGAGCAATATTACTTGTAGAATGTAGGAGATGGGTACATGGGTATTCACTGTACAAAGCTTTTCAACTTTTCTTTCTATTTGGAAATGTCCATAATAAAATAATAAAATATTGGAGAAAGGGAAGTAAGTTTTCTAAATCACATGTTTGGGGCTGTGTTAGTTGCACACCATTACTAAATAAACCTGCATTATAACTTTAATAGAAAAATAAAATTACTCACAAAATAGGAAGAGACACATAGCAACATCTGCATTATTAGTGAAGAAAAGAGGACCAAGAGTAAGGGACAATACAGATTTGCCAATAAACCTACTAAATGGGTTTAAAAAATAAACCATCATAACAGGCATATGTCATGACATACAATGTCACACGATTAAAAAGAAAGTTCAGGATAAATTAGAGTTGACATACCTGTTGAGAAAGAAAAAATTCTGCTTGTTTTTGGGACAGTGGCCCACTGCAAGATACCTCCTCTTCTCTAGAAAAAATAAAAATAATATAAAGAATTACACCAATGCTTAAAAGTCAAATAGAATCCTTATCAGAAGAGTTCAAAACTTTTAAAATTAATTCTCTCTCCTCAAGAATAGAAAAGACATACTTAAAAAGTGATGTTGAATGACCTGCCAAAGTTCAAACGATGTAATTATGGACAGATATAGGTCTACATTCTACACAGCTCTCAGCGTGAGCTTCCTAAAATGCGTATCTATCAAGCCATCCCCAATTTAAAGCCCTTCAGTAGTATCCCCTCACCTTCCAAAATAAAGTGCACGCTGCTCAGCAGGGCAGGTGCGATGCTTCACGAGTGGTCCTACCTCCTGACTCTCTCCTTTGCCTTCTCTTTCTCACCTCAACCCCAGCCACGATGAACTCCTTACAGGTCCCCGATCATGACAAGATGCCCCCACTGCTTCCTCAGCCTGCAGGACCCATTTTCTCACCCACTGTTGGACTGTTGCACACCACCCATCACTGAAGATTACCTCAAGTGTCACATCCTCCAAGAATCTCTCCTGAAATCTCTCATTTGAGCTCCCACTGTCTCCTAGAGATGCTTATCACACACTACGTATTGCTGAGCTTGGTGCATTTACACGGGCACTTAGAGTCTGGGAAATGAATGAACAAAGCGTTTCCGACTCCATGCTGTAGATACAAGATGGCACTATATTCAAGAGCAGGAAAAAGAGGCTTCACCTAAGAAATAACCATTTGCCTGGAAGTTTAGATTACACAGAACCAATGAACAAGAAACGTACTAATATAAATCTAGACTTGACAAATTTATACGTGCACAATATAAAAGTATTATTCTGAGGGCAAAGTATGAATATTACCCTTTTACAGATGACTGAAGAAATAGCTTCTCTATATAGGATTACAATAAGTGTAAAAATCAATATTTACTCCTACATAAATATTTATATAAGCACTGTGTCTAATACAGCAGTTCTCAAGCTGTCTCATGCAAATGATATGTAAGCAGGTATTCAAAAATAATGTTTCTGAGGTTAAATAATTTGGGGAAAGTTGCATACTCTATTTTGCTTTGAGATTAGTGATGCACATTAGAGAAATTCAACACAAACTTTATTTACTTTTGTTTAATGTACCATTTCCCAAACTCATTTGTACAAAGAATGCTTTCCTTACATCTCTAAAGAAGCACTAGTATTCCATAGAAAACACTTGGGGAAGAGCTGCTTTAGTATCCTCTTGGTTTTATTTCCAGTAAATATGACCTAACAATCCCCAAGGCAGTGTATCAGCTTCTGCAATTATTGGAGCTGCCAAGAACCAGCCCCGACCCAGGTCTAAAAGACCAGTAATACAACAGCGACCTAGAGGGAAAAGGAAAAAATTCACAGGCCAAGTCCTCAAATGGAAAACAGTGAAGTACTTGGGCAATAAGAATGACAATCTGTCCAAGTGCTTTACTTATTTAAATCCTTTCCAAAAAGAGATTTGGGGTAACTCATAATAAAGGACATAGGAGCAACAAGTTAACACCAACAAAAAAATCAGAATCACACAGAGTAAAATTGCTACAAATGAAGGCAAATAGTTATTATAAATCGAATTGGCTTTGGCTTCCATGGTGTCAACCGTGGCCAACGGGAACAAGTTTGGGATGAGCAAATAAAAATATCATGGCCCAGTCTACGACCATGGCACCCTGAACAAGCCCAATTTCGTCTGATCTTGGAAGCTAAGCAGGGTCGGGCCTGGTTAGTACATGGATGGGAGACCACCTAGGAAGATCAGGTGCTGTAGGCATAAAAAAAATACATATATATTGTGGCCCAAACATCTTTTACTGACTCCTCCTTTGCTCCTGCAGGGCCTCACAAATGCATGCAGGAGAAAGTAACTCTTAAGAAGCCACAGAAGTATTCAGTTTAGGAAAAGGGCTCAAGTATACCTGTTATCAGCTGGACAGAATTTTAGACTTACTAGTGCTATAAATGAAGAGCATTCGCCCTGGGTCCATGGATGGGCTTTAAGGAGTCCATGTACTTTGTAAAACTACAAGCAAAGTTTGCATGGATGAGCATTTTTTAATGTGGAAATAGTACATGGCTTAAATCTACCATTATAATTGAAAATTTAAAAATATAACATAGGATTGATCAATTAACAAAGTTTTTTGGTTTTGTTTTTTTGAATACTTGCAATGCATGAAACACTAGTCAAGGTCAGGGGGAGGGGAATACAACACCTTAATGGGCTTACAGTCTTGGTGAAGGCTAAGACTGGCCATGTGAAAAGATGGCAGCAAACAGAAAAAGCCAAGGATGAATATAAATTCTGTACTTAGAAAAGGGAGAAATCATTGCAGCTAGAGTGGTTGAGGAACTTGAAAATTGGGAAGGAGTGGGGAAATGACAAGGAAAGAAGGTATTCCAAGAAAAGAAAACAAAAGAGGCAGAATGGGAAAAGGCTGGGGGAAGGATCCAAGCTGAGAGCAGAGGGTAAGGTCAGAAAGGTCAGCTGCGGGAGGCCCCAAACACCAGGCTGGGAGACTGAGCAGGGCAGTGCAGGACGAAAACAGGGGAGGGGAGGGACCGAGACAGAGAACAGTTCCTAAACATCCATGAGCCCACGAGGACCTGAGCCCTGCCAAGGTGTGCGACCAGAGCAGGTGACCCAGCCCCTCCTCCCCGGCCTTATGCACTCAGGCCACACTGTCCTCCCTCCATCTCTCCAGTTCGTCAGCCTGTCCTGTCTCGGGAGCTGTGTCTGCCGTGTGCTCGCTCTGGCAACTCTTCTCAGGGCAGCTACCTTCATCACCCAGCTCCCAGTCTTAGAGAGGCCGTCCCTAGCAGCACCCCAGTTGCTCTTTATCCTTGTGTCTCATTTTATCTCTTTATTGCACTGACTCCCTGAAATCACACTACTTATTTAGTTACCTCTCTATTATCTGAGAGATAACCCCACATAATCCGACGAGGAAAGAGACTCTGCCCTCTTCACTGACAGCGTAGCACCTAACATAGTCCCTGGCACACAGGAAACACTCAATAAGACAAATATATCTATCGGATATATTTAATGTTTTGGGGAGATTTATATTAAATCACTGGCAAGTGAAGAAATATCAGAGAATTTCTACTTTTGTTGGGTCCTTTTAGAAGCACAGAGATGTAGTTCCAGCAGCTTGCAGACTAGCAGCCTCCACAGCACCCACACGTGATGTAACGCTATGAGCTTGACGTGTCACCACAGGACGCACAGCTGCCCCTTAGCAGCAAGGAGCAAACAAAACTGAAGCTGAGTTTCAGTTTGCACTTTCTTACGTAATTGGATTTTAAACACACCTGCTAAGCATTTGTTGACTGAATATTTATTCCCTCTCTTCCAAATTAATAGTTGGATTCCCATTTTCAAATAGGAATAATTTCATTGTAAGATGAGAGATTTGCAAGCTATGTAATATTATTTTCGCCTTTAATATTTTAATAAAAATTCTAGGAAAAAATTGAAAGGGCGAAAGTGAGCAGCTTCTCATAATGCAATAAAACATCAGAAAAGATCACAAAAAGAAAAACGTGAAATTTTCCTTTTTAAAAGAATGAAGAAATATATGTAAATACATCTTGTAAAATAAAAAATATCCCATAACAAGTAAAATAATTTCTTTCTGGACAAAGAATTATACTACTTAATTCAAATAACATTTAAATAATATATTTCTTTCATTTCAGTGATGAAACACAGTCTACTACGTGTGCACTATTTTCTGAAACCATATACCTTAACACACAGATGGATTACACATAAATGAATTCTTAGAATAGGATAGAAACAAAAAGATGCAGTTAGACCTAATTAAATCAGATTAATTTAGGAGAAAGCCAAACCATAATAATAAAAACGTGAATTTAACTTTTCGGAATAAGTGACATTCTGCTATTTTAAGCACATAAAGTAGCTAGAACAAGGACTGCTGCCTGGAAGCCTTCCTTAGGGGACTTAACTGAAGGAGAAATTAGAGAACGATCGTGAATGTTTGTTGAATGTTTACTGCATACTAGGCACAGTTCTAAACACTTCATATGGACTTATCATTTAGTTCTCACATCAACCCCAAGGTGAGATCTCCCTCATTCTGCAGATGGGGAAACCGAAGCACAGAGAGGGTGAGTAACTGGCCCAAGGTCTCACAAGGAATAAGGGAAGAAGCCAGAATTCAAATCCAGGGGTCTGACTCCAGAGCCAGACCCTTTAACCCGCACTGCACTGCCTTTCCAAGAGACAAGAAGCATTTGGAAGCAACTCGAAGCGAGTGAGCTTCTGGAAGTAGTTAGTGGTACTATAATCTTGTTCTGAGTATGCGCTGAACAAATCACGTAGCAGTAAAAACACCACTCCTAGGAATGCATTCTCTACACACAGTGGCTCCCCACCTTCCAAGGGGCTTGGCCAGCCTGCTAAGGACGGGTCGGGATGACTTAAATCAGAGCCCTGAGCACACCGGATTGCAACTGTTCATGTGACAACCTTCCTCACCATACTGTCGGCTCCTTGAGATATGGGGAAACACACACACACACACACACACACACACACACACACACACACACACACACGTTTTTCACTCCAAGTACAAGTAGTTTATTCGGGAGGTGATCCCAGGCAACAACTGGGGAGTGAAGTGAGACAGCGAAAGGAAGGAAATCAATGAAAAGTGTGTCATGGGGCCAGTTACCAGTGTGGGCTGATAGACCATAAATTTTGATCTCCTGCATTTCTTCCTCTGACACATATTTACAGGCACGTTCTATGAGTCAGACACTGTACCAAGCGCTGGGGAAAATGTGAAACAAGACAGAAAGGGTCTTAGCTCTGACGGAGTGCAAAGGCAGAGGACACAGATACAAACAAGCAAGCAAACGTAAAAAGTTACTTACTGATGAAAGCCATGAAGAAAATAAAGAAGCTGAAAATATTTAGGATGGAGGTTCCTTCAGATATGCGGTTAGGGAAGGCCTGTGTGAGGACATGGGCGTGAGATCTGAACGGCGAAAGGGAACAAGCCAGGTGAGAAGCCAGGGAAGCGCATGCCAGGCTGCCTGAGGCAGAAATCAGCTTGGGAGACTCAAGAACTGAAAGCAAGCCGAGTAGTGAGGCTGCTGAGAGCGAAGGGAGAGTAAGGAGAAAAGGCGGGGAAGGTGACAGGGCTGTGCAGACCATGCAGGCACCAGGCCGTGGTCGGCCTGGATTTCTGTCTGAATTGCAAGGTCAGTGAGGGTTTGGGGCAGAAGAGTGCCATGGTGTGATTTATATCTGCAGAGGTTCCCACGGGGCTCCCTACAGATTGTCGGGAGACAGGAGTGGAGGCAAGGAGACCAGTTAGGACACTAGAGGTCATCCAGGAAAGAGTCAGGGGGTGGCAGGGGCCATGGGGAGAAGTGAACTAATCCCGGACGCGCTGTGGAGGAAGGACTGCCTGGACCGGCTGGAGGACTGGCTACCGTCAGGGCACAGGGGAGGCGGGAGCAAGGCCACTCCTGGGGTTCGCGCCTGAACGACCAGGTGGGCAGCAGCACCACATCCCCAGGGCACTGAATTAATCAATTGTTAATTTAATTTACTCAGAAGTCCTGAATACTATCAGTCAGGGTCCCAGCAGAAAGCAAATGGCACGTTCGAATAGGGTAACCTGAAAAGAGTTTACTAAAGGACCACTTACAGGAATAGGGGCAGGGGACGGAGAAACCATAAGGGACAATACAGTGCCTGAGGCTGGTAAGAGTGAGGCACCTTACACACCGGGCCTGGGACATCTTCCTAGTTACTGGACCCCAGAGGATTACAGAGAGGGCCACCTGATAGAAGCTGTGGCCTTAAAGCCGGCCCACCAGTGAATCAGTGCCCTGACACAATCCTCCCTGGACCCCTGGATTTCCCACCAGTGCATCCCACTCAGAAGTCAGGGGGCCAGGAGCCCAATGATGTAGCCCATCGGGGTCATCTTCCTGGATCTGCAGGGGCAGGAAGATGCCGGCCAGCCGGCACAAGAACTCTGAACGAATGGGGATTTACCGCACCCGTAATTGTGCTATTTCGCAAGAGGGGATCCCTGTCAGAAAAACCCAGGTTACCTTATAGATACATCAAGTTCTTCTTTTTCCATTTTTCTTTCACCCTCTTCTCTGCCAGTCAGTTCCATATCAGCGTCCTCCACTGGCTTTTTCTCACCATTTTGGAAGTACTGTTGAAGGGCAGTGTATAGTTTAAACACCTGACTGAAAGAAAGCTTACTGTAGGCCAAGATCATGTGACGCAGAAATAAACCTACAAAATAAGACACAGACAAGGCGAAGGCATTAAATGAAATCAGGCTACACAAATTTGATGACTGTTGCAATTCTTCCTTCAAAAGAATCAAAAAGAGACATTTGCAGTTGCTATTCCCTCTGCCTAGAATGTTCTTCTCCCATCCTTTACAAATCTGGTTTCTTCTTATTCAGGGCTCAGTCCTCCCACCCACACTCCACCATCTTTATCCACCCAACATATTTTTTCATGGCTGTTATAACTATCTGAAATTATCTTTTACCATCCTATCAGAATGTAATCTCCATAAAAAGAAGATCCATGTCGATTTTGTAAGTCCATATTCTGGTACATAAGAGATTAATAAATAACGTGTCGAATTACAAAGGCTAGCAGACAAAAAAGCCAGATGGATGAAGCAGAAATATAAAGCTAATAGAAAGGCATCAAGATATTTCATGTAACCCCTCACCTTATAAACTGTATCAATAACACATTCTGACCTATCTCTCTTTCTAAAAGTTTAGCTGGTGACCCTGACTTAGAATTGTACAATGCAGAGAAGTGATCCAGAGGACTGTAAGAAAGAGCTGAGAAACTCCAAAAAGCCCCCTGGACCAGGCTTATTCCTTGACTATTATAGACAAAACAGGAGATGTTTTTCCATTAGACAATTATTTAAACATAGATCAAAATGGCAAGGCAATATATACAAACTAAAACATGTCTAACACCCCCACTGTGTTTGTTCAGATATAAGAGTAATGACAGATGTGATTTAGAAAGCTGCTCATTTCAATGAAAATATTCTCTGCTCTCCTTGGAAGAGCTTCATACCTACTACACTTGTTTTGTGAACCTCTGGTTCAGTTCCGGAAAAAGAATCTGAAAGGTCATCAAAAAATTGTTCCATATCCTTCAATTCGCCTTCGGCCATCAGTTTGATTCTGAATGAGAAAATTGAAGTACGTATTTTAGCATGGCCCTTTGAACATCTTCCCAGATTTCACATTCCACAATTATCAAAATAAATATATTTTAAAAGCAATGCAGAGATTCATATGAGATGGTGGCACATAAAACAAACTTGATAACCTATAATGTCACTCCCATATTCTGAAAAGTATCATCGCTGATGTTTTCTTGATCATAAAATTTGTCAAAGTAACACATCGCAGTAAAAATAGAATACTCTGCAACAGCTAAAAAGAGATAGATCCAGACAGAAAAATACATTTTAAAGCAGTATGTTTAATATTAACTATTTTTCCAAAAACAAAGAAAAATTAAAGTACTTAGGAAAACAATCTAGAATAAAGCTACGTTTTAATTATGTGCCCTTTTCTAACTTTCATCTATTTTGACATCTTTTCATATATACAGAAAATGAACTGACGTGGTTCCATAGTGTAGCAGTTAGCACGTCTGCTTTACACACAGAAGGTCCCAGGTTCATGCCCCAGTGGAGCCACGGTCCATGGTCCATGGCCAAGCCACCCTGAACAAGCTCAATGTCTGATCTTGGAAGTTAAGCAGGGTCAGGCCTGGTTAGTAGTACTTGGATGGCAGACCACCTAGGAAGACCAGGTGCTGTAGGCATAAATAATAATAAAATTAAAAAAAAAAAAAATGAATTTTACCTGATCTGTACTGAATTTGCTAGCTGAGGACAAGATTCTTCGATTAACTTGTATAGTTTTGACAGTGTAATATCTGGGCCCTGGGTAAAGAAGAAAGGGAGGTTATGGGTAAATTTTAAAGAGCTGTAGAATGATAAACAGCTGCAAACATGAATTCACTTATCAACGTCTGCTTTAACAATGACTCAAACATTAAATCTCAAATCAGGAAGGGGGGAAAAAACCTATCCATCTAAAATGCTAAAGTAATACCAGACATTCACATAGCATTCTTGTTTAGTCAGTAGAATGGCTTAAAATGGGGGAAAAAAGCATAGGATCTGTAGTCCAAAGATCTACCATTCCCTCCTCCTTAGTTTTGTAATCGCAGGGAAGTTGTAGCCTCCCCGAGCCCTATGTCAGTAAAATGGAGATAATAATCATCGTCCTCGGTTGTGGCAAAGATTAAGATACTGTAAAGTGCTCTGCAAACTGGAAAAACTACACAAACACAGGTTTCCCATTTTCATTAATGTAATCTCATTTAACGTTTCCCAAAACCTTGTAAGGTAGGCAGACATACTGTGTACCCAAGTTCAACTAAGGTACCATTAGAGAGAGAGTATGCAACCTCAGTTATCAAGAAGACTACAATCTAATTGAGATTTAAACTAAAAACAATTTTTTTTTGGAGAATAAGTTGACAGTATATATGCCATATTTCGATGTAGATAACCAGCAATTACACTCCTACGGAAGGTATGTTCAGTATGCATTGATTGAAATAAACAAAAACTGAAAAGAACCTATGTCCATCAATAATTAATTTATAATAAATTATAAATTTTAATATTAAAATTATGATTCTTTTCTGTGGAATACAATGCAGCCATTAAAAAGAATGAAACAGATCTAGTCACATGTGCTGACATGGAAAGATCTCCAAGACTTGTTAAATGAAAGAAACAAGCTGCAGGACAGAAGTAGCAATTGTGTAAAAAAAAAAAAAAAAATTTAAGCAAAGTTAAAAGGATACTTATAATCAGATGCATCTACCTATTTATATACACATACATATAGCCAAAGGTCCAGAAAGATCCATTCTTAACTGTTACTCAATAGTTAAGTGAATGAATGTTAACAGTGATAATCTCAAAAGGGAAAAGATTGGAGGGCATGAAGAACCATAAGCTTTCACTCATCAATTTTAGTATCATCTGAAGTTTCTAATTTTTGAAGCCAACTAATAAGTAAAGCGGTTGGGATCTGATTGGGACCTTACTAGACGAATTCTACATAAACTTTGATTAAAACTATATAGTAGTTAGCCAGGTAAAGAACCAGAAAAGAGAATTCAAGACAGAAAAAAACAGCATGAGCAAAGGCAGAAAGGTGTGTGTTAAGACACCAGAATTACTGCTTTCTTTCTTCTATTTACCAAATTTTTTCGTATTATGATTTTTATTTGACTAATGAGGAAAATGCAATTATAATAATAGTAATGAAGAAAGTACTGGGAGCTACAAATTATAGAGAACCCACTCCTTTTATTTAACTAACTGGGAAGACACTTAACTTCTGTGTCCTCAGTACCCCTACTCTCCCAAACAAACACAGGTGATGAATTTAAAAAGCCCTTTATGAACAATATTGACTTGCAAGAATGCAACTCATGGATTCTAATTTTATTAGATTTATCTCTTCAGATACTATAATTTGAGGGCCCAGGACCTCAGATCGTTGTTTCTGCCACCACTGTTCCTTTAAAGACAGTTGCTCATTCTTCAAGCTCCAGCTTAACACTGGGCTTACTCTAAGAAGTCTTCCCCATTCACCACAAAAAGGTATGCCCCATTTCGCTAGTTCCACATATTTATTTAAAAACTATACTGGGCTCCCCGGAAACAAGAATGAACAAAAACAGGATAAAACTCTGCCCTCAGGGGTTATAGCCTAGTGAGGGAGAGATGTCAGTCATATAATCACACAATAAATGGAAAAACAACTGATATAAGGAAAGGTACACCACCTAGAAAATAAAATGAAAACAGTTAACACTGAGCATTTACTATGTGCCACACACTGTAAAGAGCTTCCCATGAATCTTCTAATTTAATACAGCCACCCCACGACACATTTTTTATTAATGTTCCCATTTTATAGAAACCAGAGACCCAAATAGGCTAGGGAACTTGCCTGAGTAGCATTGCTAGTAAGTGGTAGAGCTACAACCTGAGTCTGCAAAATGGAAGAAAACATGTAAAATGCTTAGCACACAGTAAGTGTTCAATCGATGTTCGCTGTTAGTTTTATGCCATTATTACTACTTATTAAGGTCCTCTAGGATACGGAGCCTGTATGATTCATCCGTCTCCAATGTGTAGCCCTATTTTACAGAAGACGGAGGGTCTGAGAAAGTAAGTCTTCCATCAGTCACTCAGCTCACAAATGATAGCCAGATAAGAGCCTGCAAAAAAAAAAAGTATATAAAGCGCATGGCTCATCGTAAGCACTCATTACGTGTTAGCTGGCTGTATTAACTATATTTATGTGCAGCCCTCCAGGACTGAAAAGGTAATCTAATGAACTCCTATAGCCCCAAGCCCACATAGATGTCCGGCACAAAGTAGGTGCTCAGTAAAGGTTTGCTGAAAGAGCGGGAGCCGGCGGGGGCCCCTCACCTGCAGCAGTGGCAGGAGCAGCTGGTTGAGCCTCCGCCGCTCCATGAGGCTGACCGCAGCCTCGCCCGTGCGGCCCATCTCGTTCAGCAGCACCAGCACCGCGATCTTATACGGCGTCACCCAGTCCTTGATGCCGAACACGTTGGCGTGCACCACCCCATTGGTCATCATGGGGTTGAAGTAGAGGCTCTCGTGGACGCTGGCCATGGCGCCCCGAGACTAAACCCAGGGTCCCGGAGGCCACTAACGCCCAAGTTCCGGCGCAGGGAACATCACGACTTGCTATACGTCCGGCCCGCCGACACCGTATCCCAGGAAACGGACTTCGCGCTCGCGGTATACCGTCGGCCAATCAGAGAAGCAGAGCAAAGCACATGGGAGGGCTACAGCCAATCAGAATATCCAGGAGTGCTGCGAGTTGGAGGCGGGGCGACAAAAGCGCTGCACCTAAAAACTGAGTCCCTACAAAAACACTTACGAAAGGAGAGACGTTCCCGAGCGACTTTAACTAGCATGGAATGAAAGTGAGTCCACGGTTGGGGGCCGGGGCTGAACGACTTGGGGGCTGCTGTTTGTTCATTTAATTTGAAAACAATTAAAATCGAATTTTAAAAAAGATTGTGTTTAAAAGCAGCGAAATTAAATTTGCACCTTTAATTTTGTATTTGCTTTCATTATGTTAATATTTAAACTCAGAGTTTGGATTTTCATTTACCTCTTTTAAGACGTGAATAAACATTTTTTTCCCTCAGATTTCACAAATGCCATTTGGAGACAGCCAGGTCAGGTTGCAAATGCCTTTGTATCCTTACGTGAAATAGAAGATACATCAGTGTGGTGAGTCTCTGTTGCCTTTCTAATAAACTACAAAGTCCGTAGTCTGGCATTCATAGCCATCCATAATCAGTCGCCAGACGTTATTTCAAAAAGATTTTTAACAACTCTCATTCATTTGTACCTCTCTCAAGACACTTCTCTATAGCCTGAATTATATTAATAATGATTTGCTTTCCGTACTAGACTGTATGAAAGAAACCATCTACACACACGCATACACTGTGCCTAGTACCTTTTTGTTGTTTCAATCACTGTTCAATGAATAGTGAATGACTATGTGGTTTTTAAGTTCACAAAAACAAACAAGGAGGCAGATACATATAGACTACGTAACTGTGCCAGAAAAGAAGGCATTGATAGCTTGGAATAAAAAGCCTAACTTTCATATCTTGAGAACTCTGTACATTTTAGACATACAATTACATATATTTTAGACATACAACTTGGTATGTTTTACCACATACAATTCTTATGTAACTCTTTTATTTGTAAAAGGGGAAACTGGCTTTTTGCAGGAAATTTAATACTTCTTTCTTTGCCTCACTTTATACTTGTACTTCCCCCCTTTTTAATGAAAAACCATGCTTAAAATTTCACAGCTCTTTGACGATCTTTTTGCATAGTGGGTATAGCACAAAAAAGGTTTGGCAAAGGGTATTTGTGGAATAAACTTCTAGTCAACTTTGAAATCCTGAATTGAAACACTTTACTGACTGTAAAGAGAAAAGTATTTTTTATAAAATCCTAAATAATAATTTTACTCTAAATTGGTAAGGATTTCAAGTCATTCATTCATTTATTGAATAAATATATGACGAGCTACTACTGTGTTCAATGCCCTGTTCTAGGTGCTGGAAATAAAATGGAGTGAACTTCTAGACCAGAAGTTGCAAACTGATGACCTCTGAACCAAATGTAGTCCATTTGATGTGTTATATTTACTTTGCATAGTGTTTGCCAACATTTAACAATTGAGAAATTTCAGCTCCCCCCCACCCAAATCTATATTTCCAGCTCCACTTAAAAAATTAGAAAATTTGGCAACATGGTTTATTCCTATGTAGTCATAATTGACTGGCTATAAGTAGCAAGAGCCAGTTTTATTCAGGGCATGACATCCCCAAATCACTGCAGTTGTGGCCATTCATCACTCTTAAAAGGCAGCTCGTGTCACCCATTTACTTTGCTTTACCCACTCACCCAGCATTTGAGTTAGAAAGTCCTGTGTTAGCCCCTTCCATTTGTATATATCTGATTTTAAGAACATGACTAAATATTATCAAAATCCTGAAGTCATTTGAACTCTTAGGGTGTTACTCCATCATCTGCTTAGAGATTATGTGACTGTTTCCATAGCACTTTGTTCAAACCTCGTTTATTACATGTATGATTTTATATCAGTGACTTAGAGAAGTAGCTACCTCCTCAGATGGACTGTGAGTGCCTTAAGGGCAGGAACCAGGTTTTGTTTTTTTTAGTCTTTGCAGCATTAATTTCTTTCTTTTTTTTTTCCTGCTGCTTTGGGGTGAAATGCTCAAAAAATATCAATTAAGTCCATGTGGTCTAGTGTGTCATTTAAGGCTGCTGTTTCCTTGTTGATTTTCTGTCTGGAAGATCTGTCCATTGGCGTTGATGGGATGTTAAAGTTCCCTACTATGACTGTATTACAGTCGATCTCTTCCTTTATGTTGGTCAGTATTTACATATTTAGATGCTCCTGTGTTGGGTACATAAGTGTTTACTAGGGTTATGTCCTCTTGTTGAATTGATCCCTTTATCATGTAATGTCCTTCTTTGTCTCTTAGGATAGCCTTTGGTATGTACTCAATTATTGCCAAGATTTCTTTGTCAGCTGTGTTTCAAATCCTTAAAATTCACTCCACAAATATTTTCGAGTACCTATGCCAGATATTGTGCCAAGTCCTAGAGTTAATATATTAACAGCAGTTAATATACAAACTAGTTATTTGACCTCATAGAGAAAAAAAGGTAGCATAAAACACAAGTCAAAAATCCCTTCGAAGAATCGGCCTATCTCCAAGAGACTAAGAAGGACCTGCTGTTATAAACATATGGTTGGTCTCTCCTACTTTTAACGGTGAAAACTTAATGCTGATCTCCTTCACCTTTTACATTTCAAATCAGCCCTCCAACCCAATAAAAGAGCAGGGATTTATAACGTTTACTGGACTTTGGTTTATTTATTTTGTCCTCCCCACAAATGTGTCGTCTTTAATTTGAGCAAAGTTACAGAACATGCTCCTCTGAATATAGGGATGGGCATATGGCCCTAGGAGAGCCAATCAGATCCTTCTCTGGGATTGCTCTATACACTTTAGAGAAAGAAGAGCCATCTTTCTCTAAAGATTTTTAGGCCAGGCTGTCGATGCCTATTCCCTACTGTCAAGAGGAAGACTACTTGTCGGAAGAGAGAACAAGGCCAATTTGCAAAGAAAAACAGAATCCAGCAGAACTGAGGTTGGGAAGAGAGAGAAATAGACAGCTCTGGTCCATTGAGTTCTGTTTCTATCTTGAGACCGTAGTTTTTGTAGCTTTTTCTTCGGCTGTATTGGCTTGCCTAGCACATAATTCCGCAACCACAGCAATTAGCAAATACTTATTGGTTTAGTTTCAGGTTTTGTTTTGTTTTTTGCTTTTTGCTTTAGCCTGATCAAGGTTTTGGCTCTTGTAACCAAAGTCATCTTTATTAATATATAATTGAAAGCACTGAAAGCAGTTCATCCTGCCAGAACAGTTTAGTCCCCAGAAAGATCTTCAGGCTCCTTGATTGTTCCTATATGAGCCTTTATCTCATCTTATGTTTTATTCAGCGACTGACCCCTTTCTCCCCAAGTACTCTCCTGCCCATCAGAAAAGATGATTCACATATAGTCATGATTGATGAAACAAGAAGAAAGTTGAGAGTCAGAACCCCCAGGTTCTAGTCTTGTCCGTGTAACTAACTAGCTCTGTGGTTCACTCTGTGAGCCACTTCGTCGTCCCTGGAACTTGAGTCAGTCGCATTAACAAAGAAAGTTGGGGGTTGGATGACGTGTTAAGTCCTCTGCGGTAACAACTCCAATGAGTTGTTACTCTTTATTTTCATTCAAACAATTTTTAATGGTGGTAAGTAACACAAAACATAAAAATTGACCATTTTAACCACTTGAAGTGTACAGTTCAGTGGCATTAAGTACATTTACAACGATGTGCGACATTCATTACTATCTAGTGCCGGAACTTTTTCATCACCCCAAAAAGAAAACATATGCGTTAGCGATAACTCCCCATTCATCATATGATGGTATTAGTGAGGTTTGGAGAAACTGGCAGTTTCACATACTCCTGGAAGGAATATAAGTTGGTAGAGCCCTTAGTAGGAAAGAGAAGCCACTCTAAATGTTTCAAACAGAGGGGACCTTGTACAGACAGTTGGCTCTACAGGCGATAGAAAATCTGAGACGCCAACCAGGAGATAGAAATTAGCAATAACAAGAAGATGCTATCATTCCCAGGACAGAAGGGACCAGGAAAAGAGGTGGTTACCAGAGCCCAGGGGCCTCTGGGTGGGAGCTGGAGCTGTGGGCAAAT